GAAATGGTTAAACTACAATTTCAACTCAAAATACCCTAATATAACCTCTTTAAATACAACTTTCGATAATAATTTACAACTCTTGATATTTTTATGGGTGTGTTTCATATTTGAGATGGTGCCCGGGACATACATTGTCCCAATGTGGCTCCGCCACTGGTTACAGCATTAACCTCAAAATTTTACACAAACATATACTTCGTAGAACGCGGTTATGATTTTAAAATCAAGCGTGAGAGCGACCGATGTAATATCTGTGAGAGAATGCATATTGTGGCAGCTGCATGATTATACTTGGGCAAACCATCGTACAAACATGATAAAAGATTCGAACTTATGCATCAAAATTTAGCAGGCCAATTTAAAGCATTGCTTCGCTACCTTCTTATAAACAGAATATCAGCTAAAAAAGGTACATGAAGTTCTGCCTTCTTACCAAAATCTACCCAATTCATTGTTGGGGAGAGGCCGGTCCACATTGTTGATGGAGGGAGCTGGCCGACCTGATCCGCTTTTGGAAATGCCAAAATGAGAATAGTTTATTTTTGTAAGGGTTAATACCTTAATTTGGCCCGAACTATAGACAAAATTTCTACTTTGGCCTGTGGTATCGGAAATTGTTATTCTGATCTAAACTATGTAGATACTTCATTATTTGGCCCGAAGACGGGTTTGACCGTCAAATTAGACGGTCAACCAAGTTGATCGTTAGTCAAGGTCCACCTCACTTGCCACGTCAGCTATCAGAGAATAAAAAAATATATTTTTTTTATTTTGTTTACTTTCTAATAATAAAAACAGTAAAACTAAAAAAAATTAATTAAAGAACAAAAAAAATTAATTAAAAGAGGTCCCAAATTATCCCAACCCCTCTTTTAATTAATTTTTTTGGGTGTCTTTAATTAAATTTTTTGGTATAATATTTTTATTATTAGAAACTAAAAAAATCAGAAATTAAAAAATAATAATAATTATTCCCTGATAGCTGACGAGGCAAGTGAGGTGGAGTTTGACTAACGGTCAACTCGGTTGACCGTCTAATTTGACGTCAAACCACTCTCTGGGCCAAATAAGGAAGTATGCTACATAGTTTATGCCAGAATAGCAATTTCCGATATCACGGGCCAAAGTCAAAAGTTTGTCTATAGTTCGGGCAAACTAAGGTATTAACCCTTTTTGTAACTTGTCTTTGGGAAATAGCCAAAGTGGAATAAGGAAGGACATGGAATGTGATGAATTTTCTTAGTGTTTATATTTCTTATTCCCAACCAGCCTCAAATCCCTAGCAATAACTGCCACACGCTCCCACCAACTTCGAATTCCTAAAGCAATCGAACCTCATCTACAACCTGTTGCGGTGGTAGGCAGGGACGTGGTGGAGGCGGCGACTATTTTGGCGAGGACGATGATGATGGAAAGGTTGCTGACAGTGATGGCGGCAGTGATTGAGCGACGACGGCGATGATGATGACAAACAAAGCAGCTGGTCGGAGATGGTGGAAACGTTGGGAGCTCGCCCGACGATGATGAAGGCGACGACGGTGGAAGAGGAAGTGACGATGTTGTCGCGGACGAACGTCTATTGGGCCCATAGCTGGCCCGCCTTGATTTGACCCATTCGACCACATGAATCCTTAGTGAAAGGGACGATTGCAAAACGAACAATTTCAATTAATTAGGATGGGAAAGACCATTGCTGGGCCCAATCTTCAATCCAAGTGTAGTGGGAAGGCCTCTTGCCGAATCATTTGTCAAGTGCCCTTCCGTGAAGCTCTCAGAGGCAGCGTTTTTAATCCCTGTAATTTGGAGTCATGAATATGCTTCATAAATTTTATTGATAGATGTACTAGAGTTGAGTAGAAGAAGGCTACTAAGGATAAAAATGAAAAAAATAAAAGTTACCCTCCCAACTTTATTTTCAAAGTCGTCCCACTACCTTGTTCCAATCCAGCGTAAAACACAGAAGAAGCAACAGGTGGAACATACTAATATAACGAGTAGTAAAATCCCAAAGAACAATAAATGCATCAACACAGAAGCGGATGAATTTCCAAAATACACATGTTTAAAATAAAAATACTCAAAATACACATGTTATAAACGAAATTCCCAAAATACACATGTTTGGGCATCACCGCGGCAGACGACCGTGGTGAATGCCTGACTTAACACTGAAACTTCAAACAAACGTAACTTTGCTCTCGGTTATCCGATTGTAGAGAAATGTTTTTTGATTCCATATAACTTTTCAAGATCTTTCAATCTGCAACTAGACTTCATCTCAAGAAAATGTCGTTTGTTACCCCGAACGAGCAATTTTTCGATTTTGCCAAACTTTGCAAGGACATAACTTTTAGTTCCTCAATTCGAATGTCGTAAAGTTTTTTTTATTGCTCATAAATTTTTAAGAACTACAACTTTTACTAGTAAATAATTTTTTAAAAAGAAGTATTTTTGGGTATACGGGATTTTGGGAATAACTTTTCCTTTACTTTTCACAAATCCACATACTTTCCAAAATTATGGTTATTGTCAAAGTTGTAGTACTTCAAAAGTTATGCAAAATCAAAAAAAATTTCATGACATTCGGATTGTGGAGCACAAAGTTATAATCTTTCAAAGTTTGTCAAAATAAAAAAATTGCTCGTTTGGGGTAGCATATGATTTTTTTTTTGGGATGAAGTCTTGTGTCAGATTGAAATATCTTGAAAAGTTATGTGGAATAAAAAAAAAATTCGCTACAATTGGATAACCGAGCGCAAAGTTACGTTTGTTTGATGTTTTAGTGTTACGTCAGGCATTCACCGCGGCTGTCAACCGCGGTGATGCATTCAGCGCTTTGGTATGCCGCGGTGAATGCATTCACCGCTTTGGTATGCCGCGGTGAATGCATTCACTGTGATTGACAACAGCGGTGATGCTCAAACATGTGTATTTTGGAAATTTTTTTTATAACAAGTGCATTTTGGGAATTTTTTTTTTTAAACACGTGTATTTTGGGATTTTTTTCCCACAGAAGCCCATAGAGTAAAACAAGCCCGCAGAGCAAATATATGGTTCCTCTGATTTCAATACCCCAAATCGAGAATTATTGAGTTCAAGCTTCAACACCCAAATCCACTCATTTTCTCATAAAATCGTGAAATTCGGGTCAGGTTGGGTTGGGTTGGGTAAGATGACAGAAGTGGATCGTTTTGCGGTTGTATTTGTACACTTATGTGGCATTGTGCATTAATTATGCGTCTCGCTGTTCACCACAAGTATAATGAAGCAGACCATAAATCACTCCATAAATATTATAAAACAAACCAAAAACGTTTATGAAGCATACCATAACCTCAAAACACCACAAAATCATAAAGCATACTAGAAACTCAAAGCATATCACAAGTTCACTGAAGCATACAAAAAATTTCATAATGCAAACCATAAGTTCCTTAAAGTACACAAAAAATCTCATAATTCATACCACAAGTTAATTAAAATAGACCACAAGGTCGTTGAAGCATACCACAAGTTTATTAAAATAGACAGAAAATTTCTTAAAACAGACCACAAGTTTCCTGAAACATATGAGAAATCTCCTAAAGCATGCCACAAGTTTATTAGAGCATACCACAAGTTTCTTAAAGTAGACTAGTCACCTCATATAGTCTATCACAAATTTATTAATGTATACAACAAGTTTCTTAAAGAAGACTTGGAACCTCATATAGTCGATTACAAATTTATTAATGCATACAACAAGTTTCTAAAATCAGATCATAAACCTACAAAAGCATACCACGAGCCTCATAAAACAGATCAAACAAACCCAATACAAATTTTTTACTCAAGGTATACTATACATTTGATTTTATTCATGGTATGGTACAACCGTCAACAATTATATATTAGCTATTTGGTTATTTGATAATTGTAAGTGATCCAAATAAGGAGTCCAAAGTTATCTTGTATGTGATCTGGACCTAAATGGGTGGAAACCCATTACTTGCTCACCTTGGGTTTTATGGTAGCCCATGGTGGCTAGTATATAAAGGAGTTTGAGGTTGTGGTCCCCAAATCACGAAGATGAAATTGCTCTTTTTTTTTTTTTTGCTTTATCAAGAAGATCAAAGGCAGTCTCGCAGAGGAACTGTTGAAGTTTGGTTGAGGAAGGTCACTGAACCTCCTAGCTTGTGCTATTGCAAGTATCGACTATTCATGGATCATCCTACTGTTTTCGCATCAAGATCGAGATGATCTACAACATGAATCCAAATGTTTCTATCAACCTTTGATATTTCCACGAGATGAATTCCGGGTAATTAAATATGTTAAACTAAATTCCTTACATTAAGAGCATGAAATAACAGAATATATCGATATTGTCAGTAGAATGTATTTCAAAGAAGTCACAGTGAAGCATCTCTCTACCTAAAAAAGGAAGAAGACAAAGATTTTCTCAATGTATATTTGTATGTTAATGACTTGATTTATATAGGAACAAGTAAGGAGAAGATTGAAGATTTTAAAACTACCATGATGAAATATGCATGGCAGTATGGCTAAAAAAATGATCCAACCATCATCCGTTGTGACAATATGTTAGCCACAACCATGAAAAAAAACATTGTTTCACGCAAGATCGAAACATGTCGAGTTGAGTCAATCATTTCAAGTGAGACCTCGTTAATAATAGACAAATCGTAATGAAATTCATCAACCACAATGTTCAGCCAACAAATATCATGACACAGACGGTCACCGGTGAAAAGTTTGAGAAGTTCAAAGAGCTACTCCAAATTAGGGATATCAAATGTTAGTTTGTAATGAAAAATAAAATAAGTTGAGACAACATACACGGTGTGCAACTCATCTACAAGCAGTGAACAAATGAATGATTGATCCAAAATGTAGTGAAAATACCATGTAGTTCCTTTGTGATTGATCCTAAATTCCATTACACTTCCGCTAATATCCAATAAGTTATACCACTTTATTTCAGTTTTACGAACACGTCACGTCTGCTAACTTTATTGATCAAAATAGTAAAGGAGGTAAATTTCAAACCACGTTGCCAAGTAGCGGAATGCACCTGCAACCCAGAATAGTAGTGCAGGTAAATCTCGTCTGCCTTAACGGTAGATTTCAAGAAATGAAGTTATAGAACTCGAATCTCAAGAAACATAGCTCGGAGTAGAACTCAGCGCCGGAGTTGTGGTAACACCCACGAAGAAGCATTTTTTTGGCCGTCCTGAGACACTGCGCGCAGTCCTCCGGTTTCGACCTCTGACAGAATGCAGAACCGTAGACGTGAGGATCGTAGGAAGGGTATTCGAACGTCGACCGGATATCGGATTCCTTGGAAGCAGCGTAGTTTGTTTTCTCGAGCAAGTTCTGAAGCACTATCTTGATCTGCGCCTTGAGATCGTGGTCGCCCTTGAAGTACATGTCGTCGCTGCAGTAAAGAGCATAAGGATCGTCGGCGGCGACAGCAGCAACAGTTACGCCGCCGCCGAATCCCGGCTGCAGAAGAAACCACGAAAGTAGCATCACGAACAACCACACCGTACGACTACTTTTCTCCATATCTCTCTCTCGAGACTGTTGTAATGAATATGGGTTTGGATTTCTGTATGTACGTACTGATACGTATATATATATATAGTAGTAGCGTCCTCATTTCGTCTACACTATCTGGAGTTCCTGAAACTTGGGCAGCAGATTCGTGTGGTCCGGCTGCTAATTTGTCGAAAAATCCGTAAAAACAATTAATTTCACTTAATCTTTGGTGCTCCTCTCGTGTAAGAAGAGCACGAAAGAGTTTTGTTTTTCTTTTTTGGCGAGGAAGAGTTTGTTTGTTTCTTGATCCGGGGAGATAGATATGGTATTATGGGCAGAGGTGTGATTGGTTGGGAGAAGGTACGTTGTTTGTCTTATTCTTCTTTTATTTTCTTTCGGTTCGGCAGTCGGCAAGATCAGATATGTTATGGCAGATAGCGGTTCCATGTATAATTCAAGGGTGTATTAATTAATAACTAATTATTATACATAACTAGTACTTATTTTTACGTAAATTTTTAACGGGTCATATCTTCTTTTTTTTTTCGTCTTTAGTCGAAAATTAAATAACATTTGCATAGCAAAATTAAATTGACTATGCTCTTCGTCTAATTTGATATATCTCAGAATAAAAAAAATAGAGACTTTTATTACGAGTCTATACCATATGGTATTACTTTGTATACATAAAATTATACTACGTGGCATTAAAGTGTATCATAGTAATATGAACGCAATAGAGTATAGAATGGTTGTATACGTTATAATAGAAATATATTAATCGTCATTTACCACATTTCACCAACGTATACCACCACTTATCACCGTGTACCAGGGTGGTATATAATGATACTTAATAGTTTTGAAAAAAAATTTCTCAAAAATTTGTAGATCTAATAGATCACAACAAACTAGTTTCTTCTGGGGAGATTATTTCAAAATTCAAGTTAAAAAAGAAGCAGGTACCAAGTGATACCAGGGTGGTAATAAGTGGTATGAAAGTTTTTCTCGAAATATATTGAAAATTGACACATTTTGTAGATGACAACAAACCAGTTCCATCTATGTAATTTTTTCTTTTTGAAATCCAAGTTAGTAAGAAAAAATAAAGGCCGATTAAAAAAATAAAGAAATAAATTATCATAATTCTCATCCCTCGAAATCAAGGACTAACAACAGAACGCTTCAGCTTCTCGACCAACAGGCACCTCCCGTTGAAGAAAGTAAGAGCACTTTTCACAGCCCAAGTCCCTATCGTCTAAACACTGAGCCCATAAACATGTCTGGGTAAGGAAATTTGGCCCCCTTTCTAACCCTTCAACCTTGTCCAAGACCATGCAAAGCAACAGTAAGAGCCCAACCAAACTTGTGCAGCCCCATTATAGCCAACCAAAAAATTCTGATAATCTCATTGCCTTTAACCAAAGTAGCCCGGGTTTTATCAACTCTTCCTTTGTTTTGATGACCAATCACTTTCGCCCTGACCTTAGTCTAGGGTTGGGAAACGGTACGGTCTGGTCTAGACCAGACCATCTATACGATTTATGGTCCAGATCGAGAGGCTAAAGTATAGATCACAGACCAGACCACCGACTATACGGTTCCGTCCAGATCACGCCTGTGTGGTCTGGTTCGGTCTGGTCTGGTCCTGATAGACCACACTCAACGAAAAATGAATAATTTGTTTAGTCAACCACACAAAAAATTGAACCAATAACCAGGAAAAATAATCGTTATTTGCCTTAAATCATTAATCCTAACATGCATGAATAATTTTGATACTCTAAATCTTAGTACATACCAAAGGTACAAAGTAAAAGCATCTCAACTTGCACCATAACGTCATAAACATTAACATAATGTCATATGGAGACACGATTATCTCTACTCTCTAGTTAAATGTGGTTGTGAATTAAGGAGGGACGAGATTCACAAAACTAAGGTTGAGACTTGGGTGTCGTTGTGGGAGTTGGGAGAGTGGTCGAATGGGCTGTTAACACGTATTTACAAGTCAGTTGGGTCCACGGTTTGGTCCGGTAAACCGCGGTCTCGACCAGGCCAAGAGATCAAAACATAAAATAGTACAGACCATGGACCAGACCAGACCATACTTAACGGTCTACGGTCCGGACCAAACTGTGCGGTACGGTTTGGACCACGATTTTTCTAACAGTCTGGTCTATTTTCCCAGCCCTACCTTAGTCAATCCCCTACCCTCACCATCGAACATTTTCTACCACTATCTTCTCAAACCTTAGCCATATCCCCTTTCCCATTTCCTCACGAAACTATTGTTTGATCATCATCCTTTGTTTCTGCTTTCCACTGTGGAGAACCCAACTTTGCAAACAACCGATTGTCCCGATTTGGAAATCCAAAACCAAATTTCTTCACCTCTCCCTTGTATCTCTACTTCTCAAAGCCTTGCTTTTGAGGAACCGCGTTCTCCCGCTTCGTCAATACCCTTTGATGTTCTTTCCCCATCCAGCCCTGAATCCAATCCACTCTGAACTCAAGTGAGTGAAGCGGTGCGTTTCGACATAACACTCTGAGTTCACGGACGCGTTGAGGAGTTCAAGGCCGGAACTGACCCTGATCCCATTATATAACGTGAGCTGAAAGAAGAGATAGAGAGAGCCCAAGTGTGAGAAAGCACCTTCTTCTTAAGATTTTAGAGAGAGAAAGGACGAACCAAAGAAGAAAGGAGACTAGGGTTTGCTCCAAGTGGTGAATTGGGAAGAATCTCCCCAAGAGAAGATCAACACAAGATCAAAGGAAAGTGGAGGCATCACCATGACGGTTTCTACTTCTTTCTTTTGTGTTCTTCCCCTTTCTAGCATGGAGTAGTTTCCTTTTTCACTTGGGTGTTGTGAAACCCTAACTATTTGCCATTTAGTTGTTGTGTGAATTGAATGATTGTTTATGGGTGTTGTTTAATTTAATGATTGAGGTATTTTTCATGATGATTGTGCATGTTTGTGCTTGGTAATCTAATTGGTCATTCTAACCTAGGTTAGAGGGCAAACCCCCCTTTCTAAAGAGGCTCAATTGAGTTGGGATTCCTTGGGCTTTTCAAGCCACCTACCTAGGTTAATGTTGGGAAAACCTCTATCTTGAATTAAACAACTAGGTTAATCGTGATTAAGCCGTCCAACCATCGGTTTGAGGGAGAAGGTAAGCCAACCCTCAATTGTCTTAACCAAGAGGGCTACTCTAGTAGCCTATAATGTATCCCTTGGTTGACAATTGAAAGTGTGGTCTTCGACCATAGTTTCACTTCCTAACGGTTCACGATTGCTTTTCCCATAACGACCCATTCGAGTCCACGAGCTATGGTAGTAGGTAGGGGGAAGTAAAACCCGAGTGATCCTTCTCTAGAGCTTTCAAACCATTCACCTTTGCTTTGTTTTTAATTTAATCCTTACAGTTTTCAACTAAAAACCAATCCTCTAGATAATGTTTCACACAATTGAAGTAGGGGTACATGGACCGGCCCGGGTTGATATTTAAATATACTTGCCATATATTTAACACATGTAAGGTTTATACTTGGAACTTAGCTGAGATTTTGTTGTAATATTCGGGACGAATCACCTTTCAAGCTAAAGGTCGAAAGAGGAAGGTGGCTAGGACAAAGCTTGAGATGGAGATGCATAGCTTGATAAATATGAATTGCTCCCCCCAGGATTGAGATCAAGAAGGAAAACAAATTATACTGTTGAAGATATGGGTGCTTGCAATTTGGCAGCAAGTAACTTCCATAAGGGAAAAATGTATGATACAATTCAAACCCCATGACCCAATCTATCTTAGCTTGGAATGTGAGGGGCCCGGGAGACCCTAATAAGAGAGCTCGTGTTAAGGCGATCATTAGGAGGTGAAAACCGTCGATTGTAGGGATTACCAAACCAAAGTGTGATTCGTTTTCTCTAGTTTTGATTAACTCTGTCAGTGGAAATAGGATGGCTGGTTGGGTTGCAAAGGATGCAATCAATACAAGAGGGGGCATTGTGATTTTCTGGGATGAGGAGGAGTTCGGCCTCCTTAACTCTTGGACTGGAGATTTTTCCCTTGCAGTTAGATTAAATCATGTTGAGAGAAAAAATGATAAACTTGTTTTCTTAAGGGAGATTTACATGGTTTAGCAGGTGACTGAGACAAACGAAGCAGATGATAAAGGTTTGAAACAAGGAGTGTTTTGGCAGAATTCCACAGAAGATTGAAGAGCTACTGTTTAAGATCAAGAAGATTGATGTGAGGAAGAGGATAAAAGGCCCTACTTAAGATTATATGACCTTAGAAAGATGCTTAATGAAATGTGAGCTTGATAGAGTTCTTTTGATAGAGGAGATCTCCTGGAGCCAGAAATCTCGGGAAACTTGGTTAAAATATGAAGATAAAAAAACGAATTATTTCCATTGAATGGTGAATTATAAAATAAGGAAATTAGAATTGTGAAATTGAAAGTGCTGGACAGGTTTATATATGATCAAGAGGAGCTAAAGCAAGAGTTTGGCCAACATTTTAAGAGCATATTCCATGAGGAGAAATGTTCCCGACCCTTCCCCGATGGTTATAAGGATGGGGTTTTCAGTACCGAGGATAATTATCAGCTTACTGTTCCTTTCACTGAAGCAGAAATCTGGGCTGCCATTTGTTCTTGTAGCGGTAACAAGGCCCCGGGACCGGATGGATTGACATTGGAATTTTTCAAAAAATCTTAGAATATTATTAAGCTGGATGTGGTTAAAGCAATGGATGAGTTATACTTGACGGGGTTCATTTCGGATGCGATTGGCCACTCCTTTATTTGCCTGGTTGCTGAGAAGGAAACACCGGAGGAAGTTAAAGATTACAGACCTATTTGCCTTGTTGGGAGCTTAAACAAGATCATATCAAAGTTGTTGGTAAATCGTTTGCGACCCATGAAGCAAGCTTCATTGCTAATAAATTGATTGTTAGTCGATGGAGATGTGGACAACCTGGAATTTCATTCAAGCTAGATATTGGGGAGGCTTTTGATTCAATAAATTGGGACTGCCTATTTAATATTCTATCGAAGATGGATTTA